TCATAGCCCCATTTTTTGTTTTTTTTTTTTTTTGGTTTTGCTGGGCTGGTCCCCGTTTTTCTTTCTTCTTAAGTCAAAATTTTTTTTTCTCTCTCTCTTGAAATCCCTTACCATGGTAGTCGGATTTGTTTCGGTTAGACTAGTGTTTCCAGGCCAACACTTCGTGGTGATTGGTCTCTGTTCATATTAGTGCAACTCGTTAATTCTTATGCCAGGGATTTATTAGTAGTTTGCGCTGTACAGTCGCGGTGTTTAATCGTTTGCCCTCTCGTATTGGTGGGGTGTCTTCTTAGGAAAGTGAAATTCTGTGTGTAGGGAAATTATGATTTATAACGGTACACTTTTCCTTAAGCGTACTTTGAGTTGGTATTGTCACTTCATTGGTGATTGCAAGAATTAGTTGTTTACATTTTGTGTCAAGCGCCAGTAGCTCTTGAATTGTTTTTGCTTTGAACACTAGTATAATCAGTGGTGTTTGTTTACATATATTTTGGTTTGTTACCACACTTTTCACTGATTTGCTTTAGGGGGTTTCGTTATTTTACATTTTACTTTACATTTTATTTTAGGGCGTGTCACGTTTTGTTTGACACACTTTTATTTTGTTTTGATGTATGCTTGTGTGTGCAGGGACACTTCTTACCCTCTTTACTCCGTCACTAATGGATTTTTGCTAACCATACAATTACGGTGGATTTGATTTGCAAAACCAATTGGTAGGACTTGGATTTTCTAACCATTGATTTGGAGGATATATTTGCTAACCGACTCATGGTTAGGATTAACTGTAAATAGGTTATATGTATCCTTCTTTGTGATAACATGTGGTACATCATGTACTCTGATTTTTTTTTCTCTTCGTATTTAGTAACTTATGTAAACCTTTTCCATTGTCTGTGGGTCCTAAACTTTTTTTTCGCATTCCCGATCATAGGAGGGATGTTTGTAGCGAATTTAATTTATTTAATTAAGTGATTCATAGAAATAAAATTTAATTTGTAATTATTCAAAATTTATATTGGCTTACTTTTTGGTTAATTCTAGTTAATATTTTTTCCGAGTTTACGCGAACTGCGTCTTCAATCTTGTACACGCAAACAATGGATTTTTAGGTGAATTTTTTCACGTAATAAACTCAGTTTTCATGTCAAAAATTAATTTGATTTCTTAGTATTTAATATCATTAGTTGCAGAAAAATTAGCTCTTTAATTTGACATAACTTTCGTTTTTCTAACTTTAATTGTATTTCAGTTATGAGCTTTAATTAGTAGATTTTTCCGTTGTGCATTCTGATTTCGGTAATGGGGGATGAAATGCCCTTTTCCGGTTGAAAAGTCACTTTTTGCGAGTTTCAGCATTCTTTCGTTGGGACTGCTGCAGGGTTGTTGAAATTCCAAATTCCCCTTCCACAAGGCGGGATTATTTTGGCGAGGGTTTACCGACATAGAATTTCCGTTGAGGTTTCAAAGTGGTGGATTTGGCGAGTTTGCTAACATGAGGGAATGCTGTTGTTGCAACTACTTTAACTTTTCGCGAAGAGTGAGTTGTGCCAACTTGCAGTCCAGCGTCCTCCCTTTTAACGGGTTGTTTTGAGGGACGAGGACAGTTTTTTGACTGTTTTCACTTGCCGTGAAGGAGCTAGCCGGCAGCTGATTTTTCTTGTGGAGCCATGTTCGACATGAAAATTTCTGAAGGGCCATTGTTAGGCCGTAGCTTTCCGATATTACCCTAATGATGTTGGCTCCAGTAGCCGTTTCTCGTGGCACGCGGCCCGAGAAAAATGTTCGGCATCTTTATAAGGTGAATTCCTACTGCAGCGATAATAGCTCTTAAAATGTATGATCTGCAATAGCTAAATACTTTAAGCATCGATAATAGCTCTTAAAAATGTTGACCAGTTGGTGCCTTCTTCAAGATCCCTACTAAGAAAAAAAGGAAAATATTAGTTGATAACTGAATACTGTCCTTATCTCCAGAATGTCAAGATTTTTTTTCGACAACAAATTTCTTCAACAGATATCAGTGCGGTTTTTTCAAGAAAATTTTAAAGCTTCTAATTAAGGACATTCCTTGCCCATAGCATCCAAGAACTTTTCTATTAGACTTTTGGGACTCAAAAATTTTAAAGTTACTATTTCAAGGAATTCCGTGACCATAGCCTACAGGAACTGTTTCTTAACGTCTCTTTTGGTGTGTTAACAGCTGGTTTCAAGTAATTGGTTTGGAGTTCCACCGCCTCTTACTCTCGCTAACCAGGCTCCTGTAAAGTTTCAGCTAAGTCATTATGTTTTTTTTTTTTTTTTTTTTTTTTTTTTTTTTTTTTTTTTTTTTTTTTTTTTTTTTTTTTTTTTTTTTTTTTTTTCCCTTTTCTAATAGTTAATTGTTAGGGAATTAATTCTGTTTGTTGAGTTGAAGTAAAGCGTTAAATTGACTAAGGATTTATTTTTTTTAATTATTGTAACTGAACTTAATTGTAAAAGAAAAATAAGTTCTTCATGAAATTATTTAATTGAACTTTGGAGATCTCTCATGGTGAGGATTGATTTGTAATAGTACCAGTATTGAGCACTTTTGCTCCTTCAGGGATTAACTTTGTTTGTTAATTGTTAGCGTACTACTTGACTTTTATCCGTTAAACTATAAAAAAAATAGAAAATTATTATGTGCAATAGCAGTATCTTAACTGATGTGATTGAGTGCAATAGTATGCAATATATTTTTTGTATTGATTATTCTGTGTGAAGTGTTTCCTTTTTTTGGAAAGTGTAACTTGTTAAATTTATTTTTTTTGCTCCCCGGGGAGGGTATTGTCCATTTATTCATAGTTTATTTCTGATATGCTTACTAGATTGTAAAGGTAAATTTTAATAGTGATTCTAAGGCTAAAGTAATATTACTCAGTAAGAGTATGGATTGAAATCTCAGTAGTACTGAACTGTTTGAATTTGTGTTGATTTTCTAAGAAATGCATATACTAAATGCATAAGAATTAAATAAATAAGTTTTCTAGATCATTCAATGGTTAAATTTATTTTGTGTGCTCATGATTTTTACCAGTCTTTTACTCAAATTGATTTAAGGGTTAATCCGGAGAAACACAACGCAAAACTTTCAACTTTATTGTTACTAGTATCTTATTGCTGAATTGAGTTTTATTTTATATGTTATGGTCAACTTGTAGGGTACCTTTTGGTAACTTTGAAAAATTTAAAGGTAAATTCAAAAACTCCATAACAGTGTGATTGGACGAACGGGCCACCGTTCATGACGTGGTGCAGAATCTCGAAAACACGTTTGAGCAAACGGATATGATTTATTATGATTTTTCATTTGCTAAAAAAATTCCTCAAGTGACAACAAATGTTCTGTGTGAAAATGCAAGAGAACACTAAACTTATTGAAAGTTGAGCTCCTGCTTGGCTCAAAAATAGTAATCAAATCAGGCGGTAGATTTCTGTAAAGATAGAATTCAGAAGCTGATCGCACGATTCGATGTGCCTTAATGTAAATGGAAATAATATTGAAAAGTAAATTAAGGCCCGTAATTTCGTGTAAATTTAAAAATTTTCCTAATGTTTACGTAATAGGAAAACTGTGTTTACTGAAAAAATATGTCACTTACCTATTATAAGAAAGCTAAACTAATACATTTTATTCTTCTATAGAACCTTTTATTGTTATTACGTAGCAATTTTTAATCGATCGTAATACGTAGAAATATTGCGGTTCGTGGTTTAATTATGTTTCTTATTTCGAGAGGATGCGAATTTTGTTTTGTATGATTAAACTGCTTCTGTACTCTGCATATTAATCTTTGGATGGTGATTAACCAGTTCAGCTCATATTCCAATTAAACACAACAGAGGGCGAAAGGAACACAGCTCGCGTTACAAATTTAGGACTGACAGATATCGCGCATTTTGAGAAGAGAGAATTTCATAATATCACAGCCGCTTAAGAGTTAGTAAAAGCTGGCAAGTGCATTATATTCAGAGCACTTATACTGTTGTGTAGCGAATTTAATTTAATTTAATTAAGTGATTCATAAAAATAAAAATTTTAATTTGTAATTATTCAAAATTTGAGCTACACAAGTTTGGTTATATTCTTTTTTGGCTTATTAATTCTAGTGTAATATATTTTGGCTTTCCGAGTTTACGCGAACTGCGTCTTCAATCTTGTACATGCAAACAATGGATTTAGGTGAATTTTTTCACGTAATAAACTCAGTTTTCATATCAAAAATTAATTTGATTTCTTAGTATTTAATATCATTAGTTGCAGAAAAATTAGCTCTTTAATTTGACATAACTTTCGTTTTTCTAACTTTAATTGTATTTCAGTTATGAGCTTTAATTAGTAGATTTTTCCGTTGTGCATTCTGATTTCGGTAATGGGGGATGAAATGCCCTTTTCCGGTTGAAAAGTCACTTTTTGCGAGTTTCAGCATTCTTTCGTTGGGACTGCTGCAGGGTTGTTGAAATTCCAAATTTCCCCTTTCACAAGGCGGGTTATTTTGGAGAGGGTTTGGCGACATAGAATTTCCGTTGAGGTTTCAAAGTGGTGGATTTGGCGAGTTTGCTAACAGGAGGGAATGTTGTTGTTGCAACTATTTTAACTTTTAACGAAGAGTGAGTTGTGCCAACTTGGCAGTCCAGCGTCCTCCCTTTTAACGGGTTGTTTTGGGGGACGAGGACACTTTTTTGACTGTTTCCACTTGCTGTGAAGTCATTTTAAAATAATAAATTTCAGTCAAAGAATAAAACACAATAATAAGATACTATAATTTATTGCAAATATATGATTTCTGATAATTGTTTTTTAAACAAAAAGCATGGAAATCAAGTACAATTAAGTATAAATTTCAAAGCAAAGGTTATATCAAGATTAATTTTTCCACTATTATTTTATTTCTTTCAAGTACGAAGCAAATTCCTTAAATTTTGCAAATGTAATATTTCGAATGATTTAACACTCATTAATTTTTCATCTCTCCAAGTGATCCAAGTGATGAAAAATCCGATGGTGAACGAAAGTCTCTTCGAAGGTGATATAATGGGCATAGATCCTAATACGGTAAGTGATTTGGAGCATTCTGTAGCATTAAAACATTGAAATTGAAAAGTTGAATTCAAAGAAGGAAGTTATATTTTCGTAAGCAATACTTGTTCCTTTAAAAAATGAATTTATGTTTTTCATAGCTTTATATATTCCTTATTATATGTTATTGAGAAATTAAATATCTGTAAATCCCATTCATAGAGCATGTGTAAGTTAAACATGTGTAAAAGACGTGAAATTATTATAATTTCAAAGCCTCTGAGAATTAATAGCTAGAAGTTGCATCTTACGACAATATTAAGACTAGTAATTTACGAAATTTGGAGTGACTGTGGTACTTGTATAAGTATGCTACAGATTTATAATGTCATTCTAAGATAAATTTTCTCAGGTGTTATTCAATTGCTCTTCCACGTCTTCGATATTCTTTTGCGCTTGCACTTCATTACTCAGTATGTTAATACATGTTTGAATTGTGAAATATCGGGGGACCTTCGTTGCCAAACAAAATTTCAAATGTACCATAATAATGAAAATTAACTAAAATATATTATATTGAATTAGCAGAAGTACGTATCATGTTACCAATTTGCAAAGCTCTTGGTAATCTGACATCTACAACGCCATTTTTATGTATTTAATATGCATTTATATGTATTTAATATGTATTTATATATATTTAATATGTATTTAATTTAATTGTATAACTGTCAGTACACATTACAACAACACATTGAACTTGACAATAATATTACTGCCTTGCAAGCAACAGCAATCTTACAGTGCTCAAGATAGGTGGTGGTCAGCATTTTCCCCTAAGTCTCAACAGACCCCAACATACTCTTTAATTCCATGCTCTGGTACCTCTTTCAGTATTCCTCACTTAACGTAGTCAAATTCTGGAGGACACAGCACTAAGATCTGAATGTAATCATTTCCCGAAGTATACAGTGCTAAGCTCTTTTCTTTTATTCCATCGAAGGAATCCAACAGGCTGAAGAGCACCTAACCCAGCGAGCCAGCTGTTCGGTCGATGGAGGAAAGAACGAAAGCTCGGAAACCTCCAGAGTTATTAAAGCTGTATGAAGCGGAGCATTATCTTATAACAAAATGGTCTCAGAAACTTCATACAACCACGTGGCCGTTAAAGGTAACACAATTAATCGCAGTATGTGATCAACACATTACTGCGCTTTTAAAGTTACGGACATGACCCTTAAGAAACAATCTATTATCTTACCAAACATCTTAACCTGTTAACTGAGTATGACGACAATTTTCGTCATGCCCGGAGGATTACCAATATGCGAATGACCACATTTTTCGTCATTGAAATTAACCGTATTATATTGAATGCATTACGTTTTATTTAGTTCTTACATATTTAATCCTAGCGTGGTTACATGGCATGATATTTCTGACGAATCATGTATATGTCATTGTACAAATACAGATACAGAAAAACTCGTATTTTAAGATCAAGTCTATCTTAGGCGTAAATGTATCAGAATTCAAAGGTTGACACGTGCAAAATGTACTTAAATTGTGAAACAAAGTTCTGAATTGCAAGAAGTTCTCAAAAAATCACAAAATGCGTTTGGAGGAAATAATTTTTTTCCCTTTGTTTCTTTACTTAATTTTTTGAAATACTTATTAAAGCAAACTAATAGTGAAATTTGAAATTTGAAATACTTATTAAAGCAAACTAATAGCATAGACAAATACATTGTAATTTAATAATGAAATATAATAATCAGTTCAGTATTCATTTCCCACACAGGACAGAAATGCCATTCCAAGAGACTCCCAACGATGGCCCAACGGAGTAGTGCCTTATGAGGTGGATGAAGCCCTATGTAAGTAACAATTCTTTTCTTTTCCTTCCCTAAGTAGCAAGATAAGTCACCTCTTATGTAGTAGACCTTGCTTAATGTGATCACGATCACCGTTAATGTTTTCATTCGGTTATTGTTATCGAATTGCCAAAGTCCCGCCCGTTTTCACATGATAACAAGGAAAGTATTTCCCTTAACGTGATCAACAATTTGGTTAATGTGATCGATGTATTATAGAATGAACTTTGTAAGCTGAAATAAATTCACTAATTAAGGACCAAATAAATTACAAATTTGTAACACAAAATATCGCCGAAGGATTAATTGGTCAACCATTTAAAATTACGCAAAAAAACAGCCTTAATTTACCATAAATATTGTATAAGAATATCGATTTGGCAGCCGATCGGACACACGTGCATCTTCTTCAGAATCAAAAAAATTCTACACACATTTTTTTTTTTTTTCTTCCGGCAGAAGATTTCTGTGAAAACAATTAAAATTTATAGCATGCTGAGGTTGCTTTCTTACCTAATTTTAAATTTGATATTGGCATGTTCTCTTCCAGATTTATTAATTCAGCCAAGTCAGTACATTTTCCAAGTTTTACGAAGATGTGCTGACCATCACTTTAACGAAGATGGAATCTACCAGTCGCTTTCTGAAACAACTCCAAGCACATCATGTAACAAAACTTTACGAAAATGCTTATAATGAATCGGGTGAATTCCCTACAATAGGTGAGATGAGAGATGCTCTCCAAATATTAAGATTAGAGGTACAGAATCGGTCAAATAATTTCTAGAAACATTATGAACAGTAGTTAATAAACTTTTTCTTAACAATTTAGGGTATTCTACTTGTAATGATTTTCTTCCCAGTTGAAATGATGTGATATAACATTCCTAATTAAAATTCGGCGAAATTACTTATGTGTTTCTAGCAAGATTTACATTAACTTAGTTATCTTCCATTGCTATTTATTATTATTATGTTCCATTGCTATTTTGAAGTATACCGTTTTCATAGGTTAATCTTTAATTCTGTTAATGCTGTCAAAATAGTCGTGGACAAAGGTAATTATTTTATAATGCCATTACCGTGATGTGCATGATAAACATTATTGTGGGTGTACAAATAAGTTTCCAGCGAAGTTTTTTTTTTTTTTTTTAAACTTTGAAGCTTTATTTAGAGAAATTGGAAAAATGTATTTTGTTCAAACTATTGTCCACATTTTTCAGGTAGCATACAGGTTCCGCGTTTAAAAAATTCCTCCTTTTTTGAGGCGATCCAAGAACTGACCCAATTTTTTTCTTCTTCGGCCAAGTCATGAGTCATCGACCGAAACTAGATGAAGTCGGAAGGAGCAGTGTCTGGTGAATATGGTGGGTGGGGTGCGACATCCCATTGAAGAGCTTCCAAAGTTTCCTTGACGACATTTGCAGCATGTGGGCGAGCGTTGTCGTGCTAAAAGATCATTTTGTCATGTTTTTTCGAATATCGGGGGCGTTTGAGCTTCAATGCTCGGCTCATTTGCATCAACTGTAGTTTGTAACGTTACCCAGTGATAGTTTCGTAAGGATAGAATAGTTCATAATGGATCTCTCCGAGCTGATCCCACCAGATGCACAGCATTAGCTTCTTTCCTTGGATATTCGGTTTGGCCGTTGAAGTTTGACGCATGGCCGGGCTTTTTCTTCCCCACAATTTTCTGCGCTTTAGAGTGTCGCACTAGATCCATATTTCGTCCCCCGTCGCGATTCGACGCAATAAACCCTTCCAATTTTGCCTTTGGAGGGTTTTTCGCACGTGAAAAAACGGGATTTGACGTCTCTTGGCTTGAGTTCATACAGAAACCAGTTTCCTTCTTTTTGCATCATACCCATGGCCTTGAGACGCTTTAAAATCGCTTCACTAAAAAAGTTCTAAAACACTCTAAAAAAGTCACTCCCAAGGTTTGGGTAAGCTCCTCTTGAATTTGGCATGAATCTTAGTCCAATAACCCCTCCAACTCAGCTTCTTCAAGCTTTACCGGTCACATGTTTTTATTGATCGAGCGTGTTCCCCATATGCTTCACACAGCAATCGATGTTCATCAACTGCTCTTTTCTTCAAATTAAAACACAAAAGAACCGCTTCCCGCAAATTTTGTTTTATTAGTACAAATGTTGACATGGGTTGAGCACAAAGAAAGTTTGTTTACATTTCAGCGACATGTAGCAGACTGATTTTTAGATGGAAATGCTGGCGCTTTAACATGAGTATAGTTACAAGACTGTCTGATAGGATTTAATACCAATAATGCCATCTTATGTAAATCCCTAAAAACCTATTTGTACGCCCAATATTATGGGATTAAAGAAGCCTTCCGTAGAATATACCAGCATGTATAAAAAAACGCATTTTGTTGACAGATTTTTGCATATGTTAATGGAATCTAAAATAATATAACTTCCAGTATACATAAATTTACTGCGAACAGTACTGTCCAATTTATGCGGAAATCAGTACAGGATGTTTCCTTGCCAAACGGCAAAGGTTCCAATTCAATTAATTTGTTGAATTCTTATGTACAAAGACTTGACGTTGTTAAAATCCGTTGGTCTAGAAGTCTTTTTAAAAAGTGGGGAATAAAAGGGAAGATAGGAGATATTAATCTCATTCTCTGAATATTCCCAACTGAAAACGGAACTAAGCAAAAATAATTATTTTCGCTCTTGCTTTCAAAGAATTATGAGCGAGATAGATAGATGAATGCCTTATCCTTTCATGCTTGATCAAGAGACAGTCAGCTTAAGAAATCGACATAAGCGAAATAAAGTTCATATAGTTAAGAAGCGCAAAAAAATATATCATTTACTGCGCATACAATTACCGTAGCTTAATTGTGCTTCTAATAATTCATAGATAAGTAAGTTTCAATAAATTATCTCCAAAACTGAAATTTCATACATCGAGCCTCCTAACTAGAAAAACAAATTAGTCTCATTCAATTAGATCAGCTACCACATTTATTGATATATTCCACAGATTTCATGCCCTAAATTTCTTTTTACATACGAGCTGCATTACTTTGCTTGCTGTAACGAAGCACAGCTCTTAGTACAAATAAAAGCTGAATTTTAGCAGTAAGTCAAGCTCCATCTGAAAAGTTAAAAAATCCATTGTAATTTTAACAATGCTCATAATTTGAAACCTGAAAATCTTGTAATATCAGAAAATGTTACGGAATATTCAGATATTGTATAAATATCTGATAGGTAACTACTATGATCTTTTTACCTTACCTTTTTCTGAATGCAGTTCGATCGATGAATTGGCCAACAAATAGCATTTTACTGTAAAAAGTCTTCAAATATTGAATCTATGTATAATCTTTGTAAATACAGTTATATGTGCCTCCATATTAGCGAATAATCTGTCATCTAATATAGGCAGACTTATTAAACGAGCTGAAGATGAATGCCATAACTTCCACTAGATATGGATGCAAGCATTGCAGAATGAAAGGGCATTGTTCGTGGTGACAAAGGTTACTTTATCTCAATTCTCCCAACTTGAGGACATGAAGGCAGAATATAATTTGAAGTTTTGGCAACAAAATGTCGAATTTTAGTTGAATTCTCAGTTGCGTTAATCTTTCTCAGTAGTCATAAGATTCTTCCCCTCCTCGCAGTTGCAAGGTTGCTTTTACGAATAAAACATTATCCATCTTTGCTTTAATATGAAAACTGCCCGATGGAAAAGGATTGCGTATTCCGCTAATTTTGAACTAAACATTTTTGTTGAATAATGCTATGGAAGAAATTGAAGATGATGTTTTCTGTGAAGCATATAACAGTGATGCTAATGATGAAACAGGAGGCAATGACATTCACACAGACTTCGGAGAATTACTGGAAATTTCCAAGTTATTTACTGATATTAAAATCCCAAGGACTTTAAAAATTCCCAGTGAGACGCCGATACTGAAACGTTTGCTTAATAGATAAAATAACTTAATATATTGCTTCGAACGATGCCATTATTTTTTATATTCCTTGCTGCTTGAATAGTTCGTAAGGATATGAGTGAAAATGCGGGTATCCTTATTAACCTGAACATCTGTGAACTTTTTTTCGGGAAGGGGGTCTATGTGCATCCCATCTCAAGGTATTTCTTCACAGCTGCTGTGGTATATTTATTTTTATACTAGATAAAGAATTAGGATAAAATAAAATGACTTTAATGCATTCTGAGCATTTAAAATACATCATTATTTTTCTGCTTGAATTATTTGTAAATCATTTCGCACTCTTACATAAGCCAACCTTCAAATTTCAGTTGCAAAAATTCGAAGTTTCTCGGCTTATACATGAAAATATACGGCATTTCTAATTCTGCATATTTTGTAACGTAGATCCTATCTGGACTCTTTTGATGAGAGCAATACGTCACATCGAAGAGAGGACTTGCATAAGATTCAAGCACAAAACAGATGAAAAGGATTATATCCGAATGGTGCAATCTAATGGGTAAAATAATTTAACAATAATTTCATTCTTACGTTAGAGATTATCCGCACTCCCAGCGTTACAGATTATCCGCACTCCACTTCAATTTAATTCATTGTAACTATAAAATGTCTATTTTAAAGTAAAGCATTTAATATAAACAGTAATTATGAATTTTGATCTTTTTTGTATATCAGTTACAAGATACAGAATGGTAAAAAAATAGCTTTATATGATGATATCGTCAAATAAATTCGCAATTATGTAGACTATTCCAAAAAATAATATTAATATAAATGCGTAATTCTGGATTCAAAACTTGAACACTATGTCATCTAAACCAGTGTTTCTCAACCGCCGGTCCGCGGACCGGCATCAGTCCTCAATAAATATTTGCCGGTCCGCGAAATATCCAGTTATCTTTCCAAAACCCAAAGTGTGATCGGCCGACAACCGATATTACAACAGCACCTACCTTAAAATAGCAATAGTTTACTAGTTTAGAAAATAATATGATCGATGATGAAAAATATAACAAACTGGGAACTATGTACCTTTAATAAATTGCCGTGCCGTACACTTAGTACACCAGTTAGTGTGCCCCTGTCTGCCTTGAGTATCGCTGATTACTTGAACGCTGAATATCTATCGTAGTGTTTAAGGCGTCTTAGGTTAGGTTTAGCTTTGTATCTTGCTTACATTCTTCTGCCCGCTTTTAATAACTGTTTTTAATAACTTCTGAATTTAATACGGTGCTATAATTAACTACTATTTCTGTAACTTTAGGTAGATTAAAAATCAGTAACCAGGAAGAGTAAGAAGGAAACGAAAGGCATATCACTAAATTTCGTGCAAAGAAAGGATTCTCCAAAACCAAATACGTCGTCCGCCCCTTCGAATACAGATGAAGGTGAATATAGTCCACAATCTGCCAAAAACACAGAAAAAGCTTTGTAAGGCACAATATTGCAGTTTATTTGAAATACAGTTTTGTTCTTTGTCCACAATCAGAAGAAAATTGTCCAAAACCTGAATGTGTTGTTTGTAGAGATGTTCTTTCCAACGAAAGCATTATTATGAATTCCGATTATTTCAGTTGTTGCCACTTGAGGACGAGAAGAGGTTGACAAGTGGCGCTTCAGGTATGGTATACAAGGGTTCCTCATTCTCTTGTCCAGGGACCGTCACTGATCCGTTTTTATATGCAAGGGTTTTTGTGATTATTTTTTTGTAATATTGTGTGATTTTTCTCAAAGATTTATTTACTTATATATGATAATTATACTGATGTGTAAAAATTACAATATTTACTTATCATTATATTTTAATATGATCGTAGCAAATGGTAACAAAAATATTACAATTAACTTATGTAGTAATTCTTGAATACCTTGTAAAGTTTTTTGGAGAGGGAGGGGGAAAAAACACCACCGGTCCGTGAAATTTTTTCGTAAGTTTTACCGGTCCGTGGACCAAAAAAGGTTGAGAAGCACTGATCTGAACTGTCAATTAAATGTAGATCATTCAGAGTTTTCTGCGAACTCTTTTGTTTTTTTGTCCTTAGATTAAGACAAAATAAGGTATCGATAAAGTCCATCAATTAATGTAAGCTCACTTCAAGCATTCTTTGGATCCAGAGCACTTTACGATGAGATTGTTAATGGTAAACAACCATACAACCGCAGAGATGGACTAGATTTCTCGAATGTTCTTATCCTAGTCAAATAATTCAAGATAACGCAATCAAGAGACTTGGATTTTCACTTTTAATACAATATTCAATAAATTTAGCATAACGTTAAAAAATGTGCTTTAATTTTCCAAATCATTGTGAGACAGGCCGAGTATTAAATGATTTTATCCAGCTCAAGTTAATGTTTATCTTTAGCAACTATCTAAACTAGGTTAGGGCAAACTGTAATATGTTAGAGGTATGGAGAAATGTTTATTGTACTTAGCTCTAATACAAGTTGACAAGCACTGGTATTTTCTTTCAGCCAGACGTTTAAGTTTCTTATTCTCATTTCAATAAATTTGAATTTAAATTTAGCTTAGACAAATATTTTAGAAGGTATTTCGTCCGCCTTCTTAACGAGCCTTTGTGGTGTAACGGTAGCACACTCAGCGCGTAATTGAGAGGTATATTTTGCTAATTTTTCATCTTGCCTGCTTCCAAAAAATACTCAACGTCTCTACAGCGGCGCCAGAACTAAAAAGGAGTGTTGGATGAAGATGCACACCTCAGCGCGTAATTGAGAGGTCCACGGTTCGATTCCCGGCGATGGCGCTGCTAATTTTTCATTTTGTCTGCTTCCAAAAAGTACCTAATGTCTCTATAATTTAAAAAGACTCTCTTTAGATTTAATTTTAAGATTTAATAATAACAGTAATTATCTGTTATGCAAAAACTGAAAGGAAATGAAAAAATATCTCCACGGTCATTACCAGAAAACCTAATTCAACCATACAACAATAACGGAAAAACTGCAAGGTATTCAAGTGATTGTTGAATGTTTCATATGATGATTTTTGCAGCATATGAATGTCCCAGAATATCCTCTTCATTACACACATTTGCAATGTAATGATGGTTTGATCTCATCATTAGCACAGGGCATCTGAAAGATTGGTGAAATGCCTTTGCCTGCATAGCGAATGATTGTAAGCTGAAACGTGATCTTGTAGTACTTCATTTTCGAGACAACGTCTTTACAGCTGTTCTTTGGCATTTAGTCATTTTATTGGAAACGCATCCAATAAAACAGCATCTTTCAGTAGCGAAAGATGCATCGCAGCGCAACTGGCATTTCAAATAATGGCATTCATTGCAGGTATATAACTATTCTATTTTTGAAATAACTGCATTCATCCAAGTCATGAATAAATGTCATCATATAAACACATTACTTATATTATTATTTTATTTTCATTTTATCAAGATACTCCAATACTCAAAAAGGGTTAAGCAAATTTCAGTCATTCATCCGACTAGTAATTTAAACTAAATAACCCGTTCCTTGTATTCTAATCTTAAGATTAGTAGTTTCAGGCCAACGGAACAATTCGGAATAATGAGGCTATAACAAAACAATCAGTCAGTAACGCTAAGTAATATATCTGCAAGTTTTGTAAATTGCCTTAATTTAATGATGCTGCTTAATTCAAAATTAAAAAAAAACTATCTGTTATGTTCTTCTCTCCAGATGCTGGTCTTTCGTGGGCAGGTTAGGCAATGGTGAACAGAAACTCTCATTAGGTCATGGATGCGAGAATTTTGGAGCTGTGGTTCACGAGATTATGCACGCCCTTGGTTTTTGGCATGAACAAAATAGGTCTGACAGAGATGATTATCTAACCATTAATTGGCATAATATCGACCCAAGTAAGCAAAATATTTTTAATACCGAGTTAAGTATTTTACTGGTACTCCCAGTTCCAGTTTAATAGCCATTAACATGTTGTTTCAACACTAGCATAAACTACCGTTCAACAAGATTTCTTCCAGGTGACTAACTTTACAAAAGACTATCGGCTTAGGGAGTGTTATTGAATTTACATTTTAAAAACTACGAGTAATGTTACCCATTTTTAATTAATTTCACTACATATTTTCAAAGTTATCTATCTATAACTTATTCATAAATGCTAAAACTGGGAAACACCGATAACTCGTCCCATGCCTCATTAAGAGGCAGTTGGATGGGCGGGCTAAAAATATTCAAATAAATTTATTCAACAATATAAAGCAAATCTTAGCGTAAGTATTTAATGACCTTCATTAAAAACTTGGTTGTTTAACTATTTTTCGTAAGTAAAAAAAAAGTTTTTTAATTACAAGAAGGAAATACTTTTCTAATTTTTATAGAATTAATATTAAATTATGGTCATGCAATAATTTCTCAGAAAAAGAACCTTATATGACGCACAAATTTAGGAAATAGGATGCAGAGTAACATTCATTCCTAAAAGTAGATTAAATTCTAGAAGCAATTGAATTACAATTACCCGGAACATGAAATTACAGCTTTTTTGGATAGTCAGAAAAATGGATAATTGAGCTTTTTTTTTTTTTTTTTTTTTTTTTTTTTTTTTTTTGGTGTGTGTGTGTGTGTGTGTGGTTTTTAAATGAACTCATAGCCTGTCTGTATGCTCAGGAAAACGGATAACTAGCTTTATTGTCTACTTGCAATTTACTTGATATATACTCTACTTGATATTCAAATCTTTCTATTCAAATGCACTGGTGTGCAAAAATTAAGGACGAAGTCGAAAAATTAGCATATCAGCTTGTAAGGATCTTAAGTTTTACTAACGTTTATTTTATTTTAAATCTTTACTATCACTTCTTATTTTCTACTTCCGGCCAGAATTAAAAGCGTTAACTTATTTATGCAAAATTTGTCTGGCGAACGCCAAGTACTTAAGTTGTGGCCTTTTGCCAAGCGAGAGAGAGGAAGGAGTTAGTCGAAGCAGGCTGCTTGCCTTAGAAGTTTTACTCGGTTGCTGTTTGCCTTCCAGGCCAGAGGTTTAATCCTCGTGATAATATTTTATACGTATTGTAGTGTTAACAGTTCTCTGTACTACATACGGCTTCCTGTTAATATAAGGCCAATCTTCCACGTTTATTATTCCAAATTTAAGTTAGAGTTTAGTTATATTTTTATATTCTTACGTTCAGACCACAAGTAGTTGGTCTCTGTATTCCGAAGTACGGAAATTATTGTAAAGAGTGAAAAATAAACGGTTTTGTATACCCTTCCTGTGTATCTTGTCTACTTCCCACAGTTATTGAACATAGCTTTAGTAAGCTTCCTGTTCCGAGTCAGGTCTGTGCATGTTCCCAAAGAAAGTAAGACGGAACATTGAACCTGATAAGCTGAACGAAGAGGCAGAGCTGACAGAAAGACCAATCAGGAGATTAAGTAAGGTGATGTACGGTAGCACATGCGCAGATATGCAGGTAGACGTAATGGGGGAGTGTCTGAGTAGTATAAAGCATGTTGTCGGTGTAAGATCAGTATTTCTGGCAAAGAGATTGCACGCCGTATAGCAGTTAAAATCACACCGAGTTGCTGCCTCAGCGAGAAATGGCGAATAATCAATCTGTTAGACGACATCTGGATGCTTTTACCCGAGGTTGAATCATTGGGAAGTTGGAGGAAGGCCGCAGTGTGACAAGTGTGGCTGCAGAGTTCGGAATTGCTCACCGCATCGTTTCAAGACTTTGGAGACAATTTCAAACTACAGGAACAGCTATCCGGGGGTTTAGTAGTGGTCGTCCACGAGGAACCACACCCGATGATGACCGGTATATTGCCTTACAGGCCAGAAGAAACAGGCGGCAGACAGCGGGAGAAATGGCTAGACACACGACACAGGCGATTGGACGACCGATATCGCGTTTTACCGTGGCCAGAAGACTGCACGGTGGTGGTCTGTTTGCACGATGCCCTGTACGGTGTGTACCCTCTAACGCCTGCCCATCGGAGAAGGCGTTCTCTGTGGTGTCGGGAACACCGGAATTGGAGAGACAATGAATGGGGACGAGTACTCTATACAGATTCAGTCTGAGTAGCGATTCTCATCGCATACTCATCTGGAGACAGCGGGGAGCCGCAATCATCCCTCGAACATCATTGAAAGAGACAGGTATGGAGGTGAGGGTGTTCACGTTTAGGGAGGCATCATGCTTGGTAGTCGTACAGACCTTCACATCTTCGACGCAGGTTCAGTCAACGGGACCCGTTATTGTAACGAGATTCTTCTTCCATATGCGCGTCTTTTTAGAGGCGCTATGGGTCCGCAGTTCCTTTTCATGGACGACAATGCACCATGTCATCGCACAGTAGCTGCCGAACAGCTCTTAGAGAGTGAGGATATTGAACGTATGGATTGGCCTGCACGATCTCCGGATCTCAATCCCATCGAGCATGTATGGGATTTTCTAGGCAGACGCTTGGCAGCGCGTACCTTACCACCAGTAACGATTCCGGAGCTTCGATTGGCGCTGCAAGACGAATGGGCAGCAATGCCTCAACAACTCATTGACACCCTCATTCTCAGCATGGGCAGACGCTGTGAAACCTGCCTAGCAGTCAGGGGAGATCATATCCCCTATTAAAGACCGGATATTTCTTGCTGGACACCCATCACAGGGATGTTTTTCGGCTTTCATTCGCATTGCTTTCCCATGCTACTTTTTCAATATAGAGCTTCTTTTTATCCCTCTGATTTCTCTTTTAGTAAGTGTTGTTTACATTACTCATGTCCTTACGTATTGGGGATCTTACGGTATTAAATGTGTTGATTTGGAAAGCTTTTGTACAAAGTTATATTGAAAAATACCGTCTCGTCCTTAATTTTTGCACACCAGTGTAAGGCCAAAACCTATGCGGATAATCAAGAGGATTAATAACTATCTTCTTGTATGTCTTTTCTTTATAAATAAAACCACTGTCTGTCCTTATAATCAGAAAAATGAATGAATGGATTATTTTTTTATCTCTAGGCTATATACGTATTTTATGATTGTTGAGAGGGTTCTTTTTATTTATTTGTTTGTCCTGTTTTATTCAAACGGAGAATACAAAATTAAAAGGAGAAAATATTTTATTTCCGTTAAACAAAGTATATTTAATGTAATAAAATTAAATTTTACTAGTGGAAAATATAATGCAAAGCCTCTTTCTCCAGATGAAAATTAAAACAATAATTTTCATATGTGTAATACAATGATCAATACATACTATTTTATGTCAATAAAACGTAATGTCTTGTTAATCATTCCATTCCGTTATGGAAATTAATATAAAATCTCCTAACAGCGTCAATCTATGTAGTATTAAATGCAAAATTTTCATTCATTTCTGTGTCATTTGCAGAGTGGCATTATGCCTTCAGATTGTTGCAACCCCACCAAAATCGCCTCTTAACTCCTTTCGACTACAACTCCATCATGCTGTATGGTGAGACGATTTTTAGCTTCGGCGAGGTAAGGAAAAGTATGGAAGCCAAGGATGGAAGGCATTTACAAGACCCTTTTTCGAAACCCGGAATGTCCGCCTCTGATGAAAAAAGACTTAAAATGCTATACAACTGTGAATAAAGCAAAAATTATTTGATTAGTGCAGTATCAAGACTTAATCTTTTCTGAAACTCATTTTTCCTGCTTTCTTTTCTTAACCAGATTTACATATAACTAATCAAAATAAATACTTCTAATGATCCAAAATGAATTTTTTTTCTCTTCCGTCTTCTGTAAGTAATGCAACATGCAAATCTCAAATTATCATTTTGTCAGACACGAATCACTATGTCTATAATACCTTTTTCCTAGCGACTACATAAAATTTCCAATTATCCATGTTAATTAATGCACTGATTTGTACAGATAATCGAAGGCACATCTGATAAAAATCTAAATAAAGAATGTAAAAAATAAAAACCCTATAAACAGAGAGTTTTCAAGTCAGAAACATCTATAGCATGACAGTGTATATATATATATTTGTCACCTGAGGCGAAAAACGAAAACAGGTGACATGTAGACATTCAAATTAAAAGTACCCATAAACTCTTGAATTCATTTAAGGAAAACTATCTAAAATCATAACATCAGAATTCTTACAAGATTTTTAATCGTAGCTTCATATATTTAAAAAAATAATATATATAATGTTTTATAATTTTAAATGAAAACCTTAAAAAATATATTTTAAAAACAGCAAATAACATCAAAACAGCATAAATAATATAATTAATCTAAAAAGCACTGTGATAATTAAGACACAATAACACGCCGAATAAATACTAATTCAGAAGTCAAACAACAAAATCAGCGTTATATTTACAAATTACAATTTTGTAAATATAACGCTGATTTTTGTTGTTTGACTTCTGAATTAGCACTGTGATAATTTTAAGCTTTTTAACTTATATTTTCCTTTTTAAAGAAGCAAATTGCTAAGTAATTTCTTCAAACTCTACCACTCTACTTGATTACTTAATTTATGTTTTATGGGGAAAAATGGCCATTTTTCAAAGGTTTCCTTTACTGAGCATGCACTTTTAAAAATTTCGTTTTTGTTTTTAAGACTTCATTTATCTTTTCTGTTTCTTGCAGTATTAAATTCCACGCAAGCAATATGCATAAAATTAAAAACCGATTTCCTAATAGACTTGTCTCAAATCCCGTGGTTCACTTCGTCTGACTCCGCCCACATTCCACGCCAGTACTTTTGATTTCAGAAATTTTATTCCATTATTTTCTGTGGAGAAAGCGTTATTTTCTATTATATTTGTTTGTTTAGATGAAAACATACGAAAACTATCTATCTAAGGGAAATGATTCCTTTGAAAAGGACTTTCGAAACGTGTGAGGGTTCTTGTGTTACTACAAACATATGCTTGGGTCCTGCAGACATCCTAGATTGCTGGCTAGTTATCGCTGAGTATGAAAGAATCACAAAGTCCGAAGAATGTTAAAATAACCTTTTTATTTAATCTTAAAGTAAAAAGAAATGTACAGCTTGTGCTGCAAAAGAACTTCTACGGCTTTGAAGAAGCATTTAAATTAACAAAACAGAAAGTTCTATTTCGAATAAAGATAAAGTAGTTGGACATCACATATAAATAGTCTTCTTAAGCTGGCTCAGATATTTAGTGGCTCTATTTTTAAATATCAGTTAGCAAGAAGCTTAAGTCGGAATACAACTTTGACAGAGCCGGGATATTAAATAACAGCAAGATGCCTCTGGCTGAAGCTCTAAACATTCAAAAACCTCAGCTTGAATACACGGAACAACACATTCGCATTCTCATAAATTTCAGAAAAAAGAATTTATAATTAAATCATAATAAATGGTTAACTAAAATAAAATACCTTACAGACACAACTGGAGCGTCTTTATTTTACACGCAGAGAAAACCACGAAAACCTCCACTCGGACAATCCAGTGGTCTGAATGCGAAACCGGCTCAATCCTCGCTTCGAACATGCAGTTTTATGAAAACAGTATTTAAGACTTTATTTACCTTTTCTGTTTCTTGCAGTGTTAAATTACAAGCAAACAATATGCATAAAATTTAAAAGTGAATGCCTTTAATAGGCTACTACATTCGTGTGCAAAAGAACTTCTACGGCTTTTTCTTTCTACGGCTAAGAAAATTTGAAAGTTATGTCAATTTCTACCAAAAGCATTGAACCAAATGTACAAATTATGCCGCCTAAAAATATGAGAATATTTAGAGTCGACTACATAAGCGTACACGTGCGTATCTGCACAGTTGTCATTGTGGAAGGGTACAAGCGCACAAGGAATTTTCTCTGATTTGTGTGTTCGTTCTTCTTCACGACCATCGCCGGGTTTCTTTTCAGAGTTGGAGAAATTTTCAAAGGTACTGAAATTGGGCCTAGCACAGCCCACCTAATCAAGTCGTTTTATGACTTTATTGGGCTATGTCCAAAATTTTATAAGATACCAGAAAAAAGTAGTAACTACGAACGTATGGATGACTAAATGAAATGAAGAACTGTCAATAGATTGAAGGCAAGCCTGCTATAAGCGCAGGTGGCTGCAGAATTCATTGTCACGCCTAATCTCTTCGGTCATTTACGGAAATAGTTTCAGGACACTGGATTCATAACGTAAGGACCTAGATAAGATCATCAAAGATGCGTAGGGGGCGACGATCAAGGATCGTTATTTGGCATTTTCAATTCGGCGACACAGGATGCTACAGCTTCACACATGAGCTGTATGCTGCCAATGGAATCAAATTTTCACTGTCTACAATTGCTTTAAGGCTTCCTGAGACAGAGTTATATTCTAAAAAACCCGCTGCTTGTGTCCTGCTCACTGCAGCACAAAAGAGAGCGCGTTTAGCATAGTGCAGATAATATGCGCCTTGGAACAGATAACAGTGAGCACCGTCCGTTTAATAGATGAATCGAGATTCAGCCTGGGCACTGATCATCGGCGTGCCTGTATCTGCAAACAGCCTGAAACACGATACCATTTCTCTGTAATCAAGCAAAAGTATCATTACAGTTGTGGTTGTAAAATGATTTGGGAGACATTATGTGGGACCGGCTCATACAGCTGAATGGGTTTGCCAAAGGCTCCGTGGCAACTATTACGTACAGAGAGGAGATCTTAAAGCTCTATGTTTGAGGTTTTAGTGGAGCAGATGGTTCCAGATTCCTGTTAATGGAAGATAATGCTCGTTTACATAGGGCTCAGCTGGCCGACGATTACGTGGTAAATGAGGATATCCACAGCAAGTTTTAGTCAACCGGATCTCCTGACCTTGACCCTATATAGCATGTCTGGAACACTCTTAGGAGACACAATAACACGCCGAACAATTGTATTTTTTGTTGTTGTTGTTGTTGTTGTTGCTGTTTGACTTCTGAGTTAGCACTCTTAGCAAGGAAATTTAATGTTGGCGTTTTCCCTCCCAGAACCAACCCGGAACTGAAAACTGCCTTGCTGCAGGAGTGGAATCGACTGCCACAGGGACATCTCAACTGCCTCCTATCCAGTTTTGTGTCACATGCGCGACCTGTCTGTTGTAAGAGATGATTATACCGCATTAGACACATTTTCAGTTCGATATCACAACGCGTGTTTCGGACATCCCTACATTATGGGCTTATGTCCTAAGTCGCCATTTAGAGACGTGGAAGGCGCAATCTGAATTTCGTCAATCAGCCCGGTAGAATGGAAGACGTAGAGCTGTCCCATTTGGTGGGGGCCGTATACTTATTGTATATTATGTTGTAGTTTACGTGAACAGCGTCGTTGTAATAAATCTATACGTAATATTATAACCTGTACTGTATTGTATCATTTAACCCGAACTCTTTATATGTCATATAGGTCGTAGAAATTGTCCAATATATCCGTACCTCTAGTATAACATCACTTTCGCGAATGTAGTCTGGTCACATAACAATCTGTATATGTTATATTGTTTATATACATATATTTTTTTCCTCATTTAAGACGTAATTACTCCTACTATGAACACTGCGGATGGATGTAACGTGAAATTTGAATAAAGAACTTCTGCTCAGCGTACGTGATATTGCAGATCACGAGACTTTATCGGTGTGTGATATTCCATGTGATATTGCAGATCACGAGACTTTATCAGTGTTTATGTAGATTTTACGCTTTTTTAAAAGTGTTGCCATATCGCACTTGAACTAAATCAGAAAATGCGCATAATAAAAGGTAATTTTATTCCGTATTAATCTGCATTTTTTAACGCTCTATTTTCTATTACGCAGCGCCAAATATTCCCCTAGCGGTGACTTTTGGAACTAATTTGTATTTTCGCGGAATCCTTCGTTCCCCGTCTTGTTTAATCTTCCTACAAAATGTGGCGTCATTCTGGCAAATAGATCGCGCTACAGAACACTGTGAGCACTGTCAGTTTAATTATGGCCACCCGGTATTTTGTCATTATTTCCAATTTCATAAAAAGGCATTTCAACAAATCTATTATTAATAATGTTTATAATTTTGCATTCAAAATTAAACTCTCATTTTATAAGGTATTTTCTCCCTCCTTCCAGATGCCTTCGTGGTATAACGGTAGCACCGTCGGCGCATATTCGAGAGGTCCGGGTTCGAGTCCCGGCGTGGGCACTATAAAAAAAAAAAAAAAAAAAAAAAAAAAAAAAAAACTAATCTCCTAAGTAGCCTAAAATCTAATGACAATTTATTATTTCCATTTGACTCATTAAAAGCACTTCGACAAAAGTAAATCATTGCATAACTATGAGCCGTTGGACATGTTATAAAAACAGGTGACTTAATTTTACTATTTTCAAAATACATACATCGATAGAGGTAAGCAAGTGAGGGGAGCCTTTGAAGATTGTCCGAACGCTGGCGTTAGAATAACACTTCCAGGTGGCGAAAGACAATAAAAAAGGAAAAACTTCGATTAGCTGCAATTTTGTCTACATTATTACAATGAATGGCGCCGGTAATCAGATTGGCGTTGAACGGAATGAGAGTTGTAACAGTACGGTTTGTTGTAACAGTACGTTGAGTGTGTAAACGGTTTCGTTTTCCTTAGGAAAGTAAAGTTTTCAAACAAAGTCGCATAACTCTTGGA